GGGGGAGGGGAGGGAGGGAGGAAGAAGGAGAGAAAAGAAAGTAACAAGAAAAGAATACAGGAGACCACTGTTTCAGACTAAGCTCCTGCTATAAATCCAGGCTAAAAATCAAAATGGAGTCATTCTCAGTAACCTTCCAGTTACCAGGCTGAAAATTAGTTCTTTCTCCAATTTCTGAGAAGTCGGGAAGGATAAGAGCACAAGTTCCCAAACAGGCCTCCCTCTTCCTCTCCACATCTCTTTCTCTTTGTCTGTCTCTATACCTGTCTCATGCTACAGTTCAGACTGGACTTGAACTCACTATGTCCCCCAAGCTGGCCTCAAATTGATGGTGAGCCTCCTGTCTCAGCTCATCAGCACATCTATTCTATTTTATGAGGTGAGATGTTGCCCTATTCTTGAATAAAGCATCTGATATCTTCAAAAAGAAGAAGTAGGAGGGGGAGGGGAGGAGAAGGAAGAGAAGGAGGAGGAGGAGGAGGAAGAGGAGCGGGGGAGGTGTATAATTCAAACCAGAAAAAAGAAACTAAAAAACTCAGACATTCTAAAATATAATCAAGGAGAATAAAAGGAGCAAAGAGAAAGTTAACCTAAATGCCTAAAGTTAAAATTAAATTAACCTAAATACCGAAAGAAAAAATTTAGCAACAATATCAATAAATGTAGGTGGATTCAAGTCAGTAATTAAGACATAGATTTAGATTGAAGTGATTCAGAATATACAGACAGCCATAACAGCACAACTAAAAATACTCACAAAAGAGGACTCAAAGAATTGCTTCAGAAAAGAGTAATAGCATAATTGCGTTCTAAGGAAGGAGTATTTGGGGGGATTAATGGCAATGTGCCTTTTACTGTAATAAATGTTTTTACATTTTAACATTAACTGTATTTTTAATCACACCTTGTATAATCTTTTTTGATGTATCATTAATAATTGAAGAAGGTGTAGAGTACCTAAAAATAAATTAAAACTTTCAAAAAAAAGCCGGGGATTTAGCTCAGTGGTTCCATCACCTACCTCACAAGTGCAAGGTCCCAAGTTTGATACCCGGTACCAAAAAACAAAAAAAAAAGGAAAATTATAATCTATTCTGAATGACATATAAGGAGAATTAGTAAGATATATATGCTTTTTTGGATAACAAAGCTTAATATCTAAAAACTATTCTCATTAAACAAATCAGAACATCAAAATAAAAATTTTACATTTTATAAAACTTAAACAAACTCATGTTCAAATTTATTCCTTAAGGTAAAAATCTAGGAATAGCCTGAACAACTGGTGGAGAGGGCAGGCTGAAGAGAATTTAACCAACCAGAAATCAAGATATTACAAAAACACAGGAATTAAACTAGTGTGAAACTGGTTCAGAATAAAATACATCCATGAAATAATATGAAAAGAAGACTCACTTATACATGCAACCAATGGTAAGTGACAGGCAACATTTCAAAACAGTGGAGAGAATGGTTTATTTAATGCATCATGTTAGAATATCTGGTTGTCCATACAGAAACATTGAAATTAGGTCTTATTTCACACTACACAAACACACACACACACACACACACACAAACTCAAAACCTTTAAGCATGTTAAAGGTCCAAATATGAAATACTGATATTAAAAAATATAAGAACGTATACAAGCTGGGGATTTAGCTCAGAGGTTCGGTGGCCTGCCTTGTAAGCACAAGGACCTGAGGTTCAATCCCCAGTACCAAAAAAAAAAGAATGTATACAAATATTCTATATTGTCAGCACAGTGAAAAGAATTGACTGACATAAAAGACGTGCTTTCACATGGTTGGCTCCTTCATCTAACAAGTTCTCTGCTCTAACGTCACCTAATCGGAAATACTTCTTCTTTTGGCCACTAGACATAAAACACTAGTCCACACTTACTGCTTCTCCGTTCAACAGCATTACCCTGTTTCACTCTTCCTCAGAGCTGTGATTACCATTGCAGTGATAGAACAGCAACTTTGTTTACTGTGGTTGTTGCTGTATCCCAGGATCTAGTGCTTGGCATGTAATAGTTTGTCTCCAACCAAATTTTGAAAAATGGCAAAAATGTTTTTATAAAAAGTCAAACTATAATGGAAAGTATGTATAAGTTTTTTACACCTATCTAAAATTTTTCAATACATTGAATATCAGTATAATAGAAATAAGCCATACCTAAGAGTATGACTTTGCAATAAGAAATTAAAGTCCAGAATATATAAAAATATATGCACAATTATATAAGGAAAGCAAATAATTCAAGAGATAAAAGCAAAAAAAATCAGATTTATAGAAATTATTAAAAATGACCTTATTATGGATATGGCAATTTCACTGATATTTTTCAATAATGAATATTGATTAGATCGACATTGCTGTGAAGATCAAATGGAGTTTAATCTCCCTATGGCACAAAGAAGAAATCCAGTGCCATTAAGGGACATCAGAGAACTTGGCTGTATCTTTCAGCACGTATGATGGTTAAGTTCAACAGTTGTAGACTGCAACAGATGAAAAACTTTATCAAAGTCTGGTAGGTTTCTATTAGTATGCCATTCTCTTCCCATATCTAGCCTGACATAAATAAATATCAAGCCTGAAGCATTCTTCATGGAAACTCATCTGGGTATATCCCAGTTGGATCTCTCATGGGTCAGCTCTTTCTCACTCATCTCAAGACTGTACAACCTGCAGTTTGTTGAAAGTTCCCATCACAATACACCTACATGTGAACAAAGCTTCTCATCAATCCTCTTCAGGCTCTCTGAACAGATATACCGCCATCCAAGATAGAACTAGAAGAAAAAAACACATTCTTCTCAGGCAACACAGGCAGGAGTTGGTATAATGGACGATACCAAGACCTAAAACTAATCTCAAAATACTTCAGTGAAGAGTTATAGTGATCATGTTCTCCAGTCACAACACAATACAAAGCTGAAAATATGAAAATTAAGATACCCACTAAAAATTCATTGGTTAAAAAATAAATGGTAAAAAAATTTAAATCCTTAATGACAAATAAAATAATGATATTACATCTATATTTGTGAATAGTAGCTTTGACAACACAGAGAGATTTATAGCCTCAAGTGCGAACATTAGAAAATAGGAATGACTAAAAATGAAGAGTGGGGCCGGGGATTTAGCTCAGTGGTGCCACCACCTGCCTCACAAGCACAAGGTCTCAAGTTCGATCCCCAGTACCCCCAAAAAATAAGTAAATAAATTGAAGAGTAAATGTCCAATGTATAAAAATTAGAAATATATAAGCCCAAAGCAAGTTAAAAAGGAGATAATTAAGATAGTAAAATAGACAATGTAGATAAACTAAGAAACTTCAACTCTAGTTCTTTGAAGTACAGCAAAATGAAAATAAACATTGGGTAATACAGATACAATATTGTGACTAATAAAGGAGGCACATTAACTATATGAGGTTTAAAAGATGAAATGTGAATTTTTTTTCATATTAGTTGAAATCCTAGATGAAATGACAAATGAACAAAACTAAATTGAGATGACAGAACACTTGTACGATATTATAACTATTAAAAAACTGTTAAGAGCCGGGCATGGTGGCACTTGCCTATAATCCTAGCACTTGGGAGGCTGAGGCAGGAGGATTGCTGTGAGTCTGAGACCAGCCTGGGCTACAAAGTGAATTCCTGGTCAGTCTCAACTACATAGTGAGACCCTGTCTCAGAAAACAAACAAACAAAGAAACTGTTAAAATCCTAACACAAAATAAACACGGGGTCCAAATAGTTTTATTGGTCTCGTAAAATTTTTCAAAGATCAGTACCGTAGAAATTTGCATATTCTAAACCTACCAATTTTATTCACAGCAATTTGATTAGCTATCCTTATTCTTGTGCATTAAGTATTCACAAGAATGATCAAAAAATTACCAACTACTCAAATTCCTCTCAACTGGAAACTTTTCAGTGTGTGGTAGAGGTCAAGCTTAAAGTCAGCTTGATTGTTTTGGGAGCCATGGAGGAGATTGATGGAGCACACTTCTAGTGTGTCTGGGTGGGGCATAGAAGTGTGACCTTGGGCACTGTTCAAGTCCCTGGCCCCTTCCCCTAGGTATTAGCCCCCTGCTCCACTTCCTTGCCATGAACTAAGCAGCTTTGCTCTTCCATGCCCTTCTACCACGATGTTCCTGCTTGGGAGCTAGAGGACCACGGACTCAACCCTCTGAACCCATCAGGAAAATAAACTGTTTCCTTCTGTAAGTTGTGGTGGTTCAATAATTTGCTTCACCTAGAAAACCTACCAATACAACTCTATTTTATTCACACAACACAGTGTTAAAATGAAGACACTACAGCTGCATACAAGAGCATGGGTGAATCTTAACGTAATGTTAAATAGAATAAAACCCTAAAAGGAATGATAAACGCTTTAAAAGTCCAGGTAATGGGATGCGAAGCATTTGAGAGTTCATGGGTATCCATGTCATTATTTACAGGCAAACAACTAAATAAAGCCACAGCCGTACATGGAATAATTATGTTGTGATGTCATGAATCTAGGACTATAAGGAATGCCTTGTACCAGAGGTCCTAAAGGAAGTAAAAAGTAATTGAATCTGCTGGTTTCATGGAAGCAAATTTCAACCAGCTATCTCACACAGGGAAGAGAAGGAAGAGTTAAAGTTTCACCTCTCAAGTTGATAAATATTTAAAATAGATAATACCCACATGTTTGTAAGGCTATGGAGAAGAGGAAATCTGCATATTGACCCACAACTGTAAATTTATACAAAGATTTTAGGGAGTAACCTAGAAAGAGCTGGAAAAACTAAAATTGTACTTCCACTATGAGTTAACAATTTCTCTAGACAGCTCCCTTAAAGAAATTTCCATCCAGGTGCTCAGGAGACAAACACAACAATTCTTCATTGTAGTAAATTTTTTTTCTAACAGCAAAAATGTAGAAACACTGTAGGAGAATAGATAAAACTGTGGCTTATTACTTCTAGTAAAGTACATAAACTAAATTTGCACAAATTAACATCTCAGAAACATTAAGTGAAAGAAACTTGCAGAAAGAAGCACACAGCAGTACACCATTTATGTAAAGTTTAAAAGTGCACAATCTTGCATATTGTTTATGAATAAAAGAAAAACACCCATAGGATTTACCAATTCCTGAATAGTGGTTACCTTTAAAGAAGCAAGACAGCAAATGGTTAAAAGGATAAAGTTTTGGTTAGACATTTAGTTTCATTCCTTTAAAATAAAAATGGGAGCTGGGCATAGTGGCACACACCTGCAATCCCAGCATTTGGGAGGCTGAGGCAGAAGGATCATTTTAAATTTGAGGCCAACCTGGGCTCTACAATGATTTCAAGGCCAGCCTAAACTACAAAGAGAGACCCTGCCTCAAAAAAACAAAACAAAACAAAATAATAATAAAAGCAAAATATAAGCTCAAGGAAATGTATCAAAATAATATCTGTCAAATCCAAATTCATACTATTAAAGCATCCTGTGTCACATTATTTTCTAACTTTTTTTCCTAAGGAGGTGGAATAACTTCATCAGTGAAATGGATTTGAATTGAATTATACAATAAACTAGTCTGACATCTCAAATTTTATGATCCCCCTATGAGGCACCACCCCTTCCAGTAAGGATTGGCAGTCGACACCAGCAGGAAATCATTGGCATTTGGGGAATTGTTACATCTGCCCAGTCTTGCCTGTAATTATTTCACTCGAGGAGGCCTAAATTCTGAGATGAAAGATAAAAGAGATTTTGAGAAAAGCACTTAGCCCCCTGTGATACAAATTTTTATCAATCATTGGGAAATCCTAGGAGATGCTCTCTGGTAACATTGTTAGTAACATAAAATTTTCAAGATCATATTAAACAACCAAAATCACTCATACGCGAGCAATTTTAAAACACTTTGATAAATGCAGTGATTGACATCTTAAATTATTTGTACTATGATTTTTAAGAGGTATGCGAACTATAAAAAATATATAGAAGCAATATAAGATTTATGAGTGCAAGGATAAGTGTAGGTCACATGGACATCTGAAACACCATAATTATTATGGTATTTTCATTTCAAACATTCATATTATTAAAGGATTGTAGGCCTTGATTTCAATCATAATATTGAGTCATCATGATATAACCCCAAACAAGTCTGAACTTGGGTTTGCACTACTTGGTCTTTTGAGAAGCAGAAAGTCTCATAATCTCTGAAAAGGATACTCCCTTCATTAATACTGGCTGTATGTGTACGATATGACTAATGCCAACATTCACTAGAATAATTTGTTAGGAGCCCTGTACTTTACACTTTGTGCCAGTAAAGTGCTTATGAAAGGAGTTTACAGGAAGTTAAAAAAAAAAGCATTTCTGAAAGGGGTACTGATGAGGAATTTCAGTCTCTAACATAAATTCGTTTATTTTATCTATTAAACAAGACAAGTAAAAAAATATTAGCTCAATCCAGTCATGAATTATACAACAATCATAACATAAAATTCAAGGCCAGAATCCTTACAGCATCTATTAAAATGACTAACTTACTATGGCCGGTATCTCAAAGGAGTAGAAGTAAATTCTAAAGTCCAAAAGAAATGTGAAATTATTTGCTAGAACTATATTTTTAATCTGTTTGTTAATATTTGAATTACTAAGCAAATTCTTCTTTTGGTTGAATATACTTTTTTTCCTTGTCCTTGAGGATTAAACCCAGGGCCTTCTCACTGAGCTACATCCCAAGCCTATTTCATTTTTTTTATTTTTATTTTTATTTTGAAACAGGGTCTTGCCAAATTAGTAAATTTCCCAGGCTGGATTCAAACTTGTCATCCTCCTTCTTCAGCCTTTCAGAGGGCTGGGATCACAATTGAGCACCAGCATGCCCAACTTAAATATCCTTTGAAAGGTACATAAAGTTTCATTCTTTCCCGGTTCTCGGACTAATAGTTCTTTTCCTCTTTATTGCTTGGCTGACAACTTGCCCATGGATGGAGCACTCACTCTGAAAGAGTCAGGGAAGTTGGATGACTGCTTCAGTCTCTCTTTTTCCTATGCATCTGCCCACTTCCTTCCCGCAGCAAACACTGAATGACTAGTCACCATGCCCTGGGCATCACATAAGGTAGCAACAGATCGTGGTTTGGAATAATAATGAGTGCTTGTTATGTGCCTGGCATTGTATAAGCACCACACGGTCCCTGCCTTCATGAAGTTCACAACTAATTATTTGAACAGTTAGTTATATTACACTATAAGAAGAAAAGCAACAGAAATTTAAATAGCTGAGAAACAGGCTAAAAGGAAGGGCTTGTACTAAAAGAGTATAGGAATATGGCCAGTTCCAACCAACCCCTCTTGTCTTGCTCAGGTTACCAGTGTTGTATTTCTCTTAAAAAAAAAACAGTACCTTATTTAGCCTTCTCTCTTTTTCCCTTTTTCCCCATGGTCTGATGTGCTTGCCAATCCACACTCAGGAATCCACTCAGCCTTCACATTTATGTAAAAAGTTTAATCTTGCTGAACACATAGACTCACACGAGAACACACGCAGAGCGTAGATAAAACCAAAGAGAAGGCAGCACTGCTAAGTGGAAGCTGCCTCTTCCCAGGGTCCTCACATAACCCTTCTACCCTAATCTGCGACTTCATTCTAGAAATAAAATGAGAGCAGGAGGCAGGAAAGAAGGAAGGAATGAAAGAGGAAAAGAAGAGAAAGAAAAAAGAGAGCATAAGGACAGGAAAAAAGTGCACCAGCAGAAGGTGCATCCTCTCCATACAGGAAATGGTGACACATCTTTCCCTCTCGATTTTTCTTTTTTCCCCTTCACTCCCTTCTTTCTCACCTCTCTTGGAATCAATGCACATAAATACAGAATTCAAAGCTGCTATCAGGGAATATCCTCAGAGTTCTCTTCTAAATGTGGATTATATTATATTGTGTATACTGGTCTCTGGGTATCATTTTAAGTACTGAGGTCATTTTAAGTAAATCTGAAAATTACACATGTCATGTAAGCACTTGCATTCCTGCATATACCATAGGCACTGCACTTTTACTAGCGCTGAATTTTATATCATTACCCTTCTTTTCTTCATTGCTCATACTTTGACTTGCCTCACCCCTGGACACTCAATGGGACACAGCCTCCAGCTTTTTCATACTCACTCAAACAGAAACCGCTCAAGTGTGTGTGTGTGTGTGTGTGTGTGTGTGTGTGTGTGTGTGTGTATCTGAGACACAAGGGTGCCATTTTAGACCAGTAGGAGCTGCAGAGAGGGTATCTAGGTACCAGAACACTAGACCACCTTAAAGGTGAAAATTAGACGTATCTCTTGCTTTAATTCTTGCTGGGTAGCTGGGATAGGCAACATAAAATAAAGAGATGTATTTGGCTCATGACTCTGATGACTAGTGGGTCCAACCAATATTGTACCAACTCCCAGAGGCCTATGGGCTGCATCCTAACATGGTGGAGAAGCAGAGGGAGCCATGCACGTGGAAGGGGGGGGCATGTGCACAAGCAAGAAGCGAGAGAGTGGAATGAGGGAGACTCACTCATAATCCTGCTGTCTCGGAGCTAAGTCATTCCTGCCAGGTCAGTATGAAGATGTCCTGAAGGTGGCACCCATCATGTCCCAGTCATCTCCATTGGGCCCCCCTTAAAACTTCCACAGCATAAGCCCTGCCTTTCTGGGGACTGAGGTCCCAGAACATGAACTTTGGGGGGGGCACCATATGCAACCATAAGCAGCCATTGTTGAAGTCATCCATTCTGATAATGAAGACCTTTTCCTGCCATTCTCCTTTCAAAGAGTACCAACCCCTGCCTAAATTTTAGGTCCATCTTCTTTCTGTTACTTTCATCTTCTCTCTCTTCTCAGATATCCTAGAGAAACTCAAAACCTTATTTACCATTCAGAGCAGTTTGTTTGCCTTTCTCTTATTCTTGGCCCAGACCCTTCCTACACCGAGAGACATCTTTCCAGGAACCCAATGGTCTATCATGGTATTTGCCTCAAGAAACACATTTGTTTATCTCAGAGGAACTCTCTCCTAGTTTTCAGAGTGATACTTCTTTTTCTTCTTTATTACAATTCTGAAAGTGTAATTGTGAAATAAAGCAAAAGCATGCAGAATAAAATCTACAAGGAATAATGTTGAAAGGAAAAATACACTATAATAAATTGTTTAAAAGTCCTGACTAGTGCCTTACAATAAGTGCTTTATTGAAGCTATTATAATCAAATTCTCTCCAATAAATAGCTTTTATTCAGTTTGTGTGTATGAGTGTTTGTGTAGCCATCAGTTTCTAAAATAATAATAAAAAGCTCGAGTAACATAGGCTTATAATCTCAGTACTCTGGGAGTCTGAGGCAGGAAGATTACAAATTTGAGCTTAGTCTAGCAATTTAGTGATTGAGTGAGTCTCGTCTCAAAATTTAAAAATTAAATAAGAAATGGAGCTTTGGGTGTAGTTCAGTGAAAATTTCCTAGGTTCAATCCAGTAACAAACACGCACACACAAGCAACATAGTCAGTACACAGTCACTTTCCTGGTTGCTGAGACATAATAATCAACACCTATAATTTAAAGGAAGGAAGATTTATTTTGGCTTACAGTTTGTAGAGGTTTCAGTCCATTGTCTGGCTCCAAGGCACAACAGCACAGTGGAAGGGTCTGGTGGTGGAAAGCCGCAGCATCATGGTATCATCAGGTACCCTGCTTCTGTAAGTGGTTTGCCAACTAAACATTACTGGGTTCTGAGCTGCTCACCTCTTCCTCTGGAGTTAGACTCCAAATTCTTCTCTCAAAGAAAGAACTGGATACAACAAGCAAAAAAAAAAAAAAAAAAAAAAATTGACAAAGTTTATCAGTGAAAGCATAAATGAAGAGTGGGAGAGAAAATGGCTCTGCAGAGCCAGTTTGGACCTAGTAAAGAACAAAAGAGAGTAAAAGCAAAAATCAAAGCACATGCCATCGGTTTGGCAAGTTAAGACAACAAGCTTTTCATGGCTTGCCTCACCTTCTGTGCTGTCCAAATCTCTCGAGGAAACCTGTGAGAACTTCTACATACGGGTCCTGAGAGGAGGTGCTGGGATCCCAGGTCTCATGCTGACTTCAGGTGTAGGCCATCCAAATGAAAACCTGCCGGAGTTCTCATTAGCCCACGTGCAGGGCTTTGGAAGCTGTTCTGCGCATGTTCTCTGGATCTTCCATTCGCAGATCCCGCCGACTTCCTCAGCGCATGTGTTCCTCATCTCCCCTCTCGGCGGCAGTCCGCAAGTGGACAGTATCAAGGTGAAGAAAACAGATAATTTAGTTAGCTCAGAGTGAGGTAGCTACCTAGTGGAAGGACCGGAGACAGAATGGAATGCCCAACTATACTGTGAAAAATTAACAACAGACAGTGAACTAGGACTTTAGACAAAGAATGCATTTCCTGAGGCAGCATGGAATGCAGCCCACTCCCTACTGAGATCCTGAATTTCAAGGAAATTATAATGCAAATTAATCAGCTTCTTTTGAGATTCCAGTTTAAACATTGTGTAAAAGAACTAAAAGAACTGGGTTAGAGAGCCTGAGTCCCAATTGGTCATTTTAAATCCACCAAGCCACCTGTGACCACTAAATAATTAAGCAAATCCTGTACCCTACTTGCCTATAAGTTATTCTAAATTTCAAGACCATGCAGCTATTGCAGATAAGTATGCTAATTAGATATCTAGGCAGTTAGACAGGGCCAACCTCAGGGAGCCAACACAGCAAGGAGCCAGCACGGAGGACAATCAAGATACATTCACTGTGGCCTGGAATGGTTAAAGGAGAGAAACTACTATACCCTTGTGCTTCCCCTGGGGATAAATAGCAATAATTGATATTCTAAACAGATATCAATCACCTAAGTGGGGGGCCAAGGTCTTAGCCCAGCCTTTCCAGAAAATATCCCTGACCCCCACCCTTACTAAAAATCCTTGTACACTATGTGACTTGCTCCCCCATTTGATCCCCATTTAATCAATATTGCCTGGGTGACTGTACTTGTAATCTTATTGGTTGGTCATGGTTTTGTCCTACCTCATGCACACCTTGCAGTTTTCCATTGGATCTTATAGTTTTGTTCCACTTTGTACCCATCTCACCACATGGCTTTGCTGTATAAAACATCTTTGTAAAGTGGGGTGAGTGGGCAACCCACTTTCTAGTCCCCCTTCTCTCTCCTAGACAGACGCTTTCTTTCCCTCAATAATTTTTTCCTACTCTTAACCTCTATTGTTCCTAGAATTCATTTATCGGTTTTGGAGAACACAAACTCACATTTCGAATATCCAGCAGATTTGGGAGTTACATCTCTTCCCCCATATCACAGCCACCCCTTTGGGGGCTCCTCCTGGAAATCCAGGGGCTATCCTCCTTCTCCTTACTTCCAATAAAACTTTGCTAACCTCCTTTTGGGTTCCGGACTTCATTCTTCAACCTTTGCAGAACTAGGAACCCTGAACACATTTTAGCCAAGGGAGGAGCTGGGAAGGGAGATACACCCTTCTGGGTCACATCCGCAGTGACCCCCCTCTTCCGACCTGAGCCCATCTCCTGACAGCAAGTCAGATATTTCACCCTATTATCCAATCACCTTTTAAACATGGGGGGGGGTAGATCTAAACCATAAAACACACACATATGCACCAAATCCTAATTTACATTTTACATTTCCCTTGCCTTAAGATGGCCCTAACTAGTGATGACACAAGCCCCTCCTAGTGATGTCGCAGCTGCCCCAATCCCTAGCCACTACAACACTCATCACCACCCTCCCCAGGTCCTCTAAGCCCCAGCCCAATCCTATAAAAGAAGCTCCCCATTCTGCCATGTTGCTTTCTCGCCTTTGTTTGGAGACAGCCCGACAGATCATCCCTATAATAAAGGTTTCTTATGGTTCTGGTCGAGTCCTAATCTTCAGCTCTTTTTACCTGACAGTAAAATGTAAGGCAATAGATAAAGAATATAGACTTTGGCTAACAGGCAAACAGGAGGAGGAGAAATTTCAGAAATGCAGGCATAGTTCAAAATGCTGAAGGTAGATTGTACACCTCTGCATGTGTTGAGGAAAGGACAGTGGGATTGAGCTGAAAAGGTAGGGAAGATGAAGGTGAGTGGTAAAGATGAAAATCTCTGGAAGAGCTGCTTAAATGACAAAACACATCAATGTGTTGCATTGGTTTCATCTTCCACTAAAGCTCTGAATTGATCAATCTGCCAAGTAAATGAGCAAACTGAAACCGGCAATCTGTCCTATGCAACGCCACAATGATCAAATGCACAACAGCTTGTAAAAGAACTAAAAAAAGAAAGCCAGGCTGGAGCTAACCAACAACATATATTATATGCTGGGAAAGTGTCAATGAATATGGAACCACTTTCTTGGAAAAAAAAAACAAAAGAAAAAAGACTTGACAGCTGCTCATAAGAAGGCTGAGAAAGAGGAGGAAGATGATAAGCAAAGCTGACTTAAATAGCTAAGGTAAAATTTTGAAGTGTAGCAGGTAGTTATGCTATGCTGAGGAGTAACATACTCAAATCCAGTGTAATTGACTGTAACTCAAAGTTTGCAAACTTATAAGTTAGAAGTGAGTTTTTAATCTAGCAGAGGCCTTTTTCTTTCACTCCCCTCAACTCTAGATGCACCTCTTTCATTTAAGTACCCAGCTGGAACAGGAAGTGCTTTTTGTCATAGCTTAATTGACCACATATTTGTGGCTTAGCTTTCCTGATGAGAAGGTAATACCCTGGACAAGTTCCTTTGAAGTGTTGGTATTCCATGAAATGAGAGTTCCTCCATACTTATTAGTGTCACATTTCTTTTCCTAGCAAGCAGCATCAACCTTGGTTTGCATTTTAAAGAAAGAAAAGAAGGAGCAGAGAAAGGGAAGGAGACAAGAAGAAAGCAAGTCATCCTTCAAAAACAGGTGCTGGGGCTTTAGCTTAGTACTTCCAGCTCCTGCCTCACAAGCGCAAGGACCTGAGTTCGATCCCCAGTACCAAAAAAAAAAAAAAAAAAAAAAAAAAAATGTGGTTGGCTAGGGGTTCTGTGGTCATTTGAATTTACATTGTGCTATAATCTGAATGTTTGTGTCCCCTTAAAGTTTATATGTTGAAAACCTAATCATCAGTGTTAGAAGACGGGGGGGGGGTATTGCGAGGCGGAGCTCTCCTGAAAAGGATGATTGCCCTTCTGAAAGAGGCACTTAAAGCTCTTTGCCTCTTTCTTTAGCGGGGACAGAGTGATATGAACCAACACCTGCCCTCACCAGATTCTACATCTGCTTGTTCCTTTGCTTAAATTCCCTATTGCCAGAGGAATGAGGAATTTCTGCTTCATATAAGGCCCTGGATCTATGGTGTTTTGTTATAGCAGCTTCAACAGACTAAAACTGAGCACCATAAGAAAAGCATCCAATTACAATAACTCATGTTTATATTATACATTTTCAAACATGGGAGGAAGAAATTTTGAGCCAACCATTTTTAAGGATTTGACAGAACGAAAACATTTTTGCTGTTTTAAAAGATGAAATACGGGCAATCTGTGGCATGCAAAGTTTTCCAAAGTCAAATTTTTTCATGGCACACTTAGGAAAATGGCAAATTCAGAAAAATGTATTTGGGGCATAATCTTATCATCAGCCATATCCCCCCCCCTTTACTTGAATATTTTGTTATGTTTTGAACTATTCAACCTCCCCAACTGAATCCACTAAGTATCTGTAATACAAAGCAACTCCTTCTCCAATGAATACATCCTTACCTTTATTTCTAACAACAACAAAAAAGAAATTTAATTGGAAAAATTCACAGTAAGTGTAAATGGCTATTGTAAACCTTAAGTACAAAGGAATATTTTCCAATGAAAGTCAGCTGATGGTATACATGGCAAGGTGTTTTGTTTGCTTGCTTGTTTTGATGATTTGTTTTGCCAAGAATGTATGTAGAATCCACCTTGCCTACTCTGATAGAGGAGCCTTGAGTTTCATTCACTTTTTCAATAATTACACACAATTAAATGACCATAGATGTTCTGATGTTTCCAACCCTTGCTAAAAACTGGCAAATTATCACTCTGATGGTAATGTAGTGGTTTCTCCCTGACTCCTCAGCGCTCCTCCCTGTTGCTAGCTTTCTCCATAGTGCTTCTTTCCTTGTATCTTGATTTACTGTTGTCTCTCAGTTCCTCAGCAAGAGTACTATGGAGGGCAGATAGTGAATCATCAGCTTCAGTCAATCGGGAATGAAGGTTAAAAAGACCTGCCTTTTCTCCTATGGTAAGGATCTGAGACAGACCCCAATCACTCATGTCTAGCCTGCTGCTACTCTTCCAAAGCCACAGTGTGCTGGCCCAATGCATCGGAACAAGTTTCTGCCTCAGTGTCTCCACTCATTACTTTCTACTTTGTTGTTGCAAGAAGACTCATGGAAGGATGGATCTCCTACTCATCTCTGTATGATCCTATGCCTGCCCCCGTGGATACAGTGGACATAGCACGATAACCAAAGTTCATCTCCCAGTTTTAAGACCCTTCATCGAACCGCATCTGTAAATATAGATTGGGCCCAACTTATGACAGTTAGACTTAGGAGTTTTAGACTTTCTGATTGTATGAAATTATATACAATCAGTAGAAGCTATACCTGGGATTACTGTTGCCTACTCTATCAGAGTATGTAAGTTGGATTCTGAATGCTTTCTTGTCAAAGCAAACAAACAGCCTTCCTATACATACTATCAATTGATTTTCATTAGAAAATACTCCTTTGAGCTTAAGGCTTACATTAGGCATTTGCACTTATCTGAGTTTTTCCAATTAAATTGGTCTTCTTGCATTGTTAAAAGCAAAGTTATGAAATAAACATCTGTTCCCAGACCAGCAACATGCCATAAGCTTCTCTCCCCACCCCCTCAATTCTAGGCTGTGGCAGTGAGCCACAGCTCCCCATTAGAGACTATGAGATCACAAGGTTGAAAAATTGGTACTCTACAATGTAATGTGATGCTAAGCTATGATGTTCAGTAGGCTAGGTGTGGTAAATGCACTTTCAATTTATGATAATTTAGTATTTCAATTTAGTATGGGTTTGTCAGGACATGCTATCTTACTTACTTTTCATGTTGCTGAGACAAAATAACCAACACCCACAAAGTGGAAAGGTTTATTTAGCTCACAGTTTGTAGAGGTTTCAGTCTGTAATTGACTGGCTCCAAGGCAAGGTGGCATCACAGACAAGCCTCACAAAAAAGAAAC